CCAGTCTCCATGTTCAAGTTAGATGTATTATTGTGTGTTAGATGTTTTATTATTATTATAGCCAGAGATTGGATTTGGAGCTAGATGAGCAGTTTTTTGCTTATCAGTTAGAATTACAGGGGATTTATTCAGTGCCATTTTATCTCACCTTTCCTCCAAGGAGCTTGGGGTACTCCTGTTTTATTATCACAGCACCCTTTGGAGATAGGTTAGGCTGGGGAAATGACTGGCCCAAGGTCATGCATTCAGCTTCATTGCAAACAGGGATGTGAACTCTGGTTTCCCTGGTTCTAATTTAACACTAATCACTACACCACAGGGTGTTCTTGCATTAAATATCTGAGATTGGGGGTTAAACCTCCAGTCATGGAGCTTGGCCGTCTTATGCTATTGTTCAATAGAGGAAAATATTCTGAACTTAATTATTGCTTTTCCCCATCCTAGCCAGTTCTTTAGAAGTCTAGAATTTGCTCTGTGTTTTAAAAAAATGTTTCCACAGAATGGAAGCTTATGCTTATCCAAATGGTTTACTTAAAGAAGAGAATCAGTGTAGTGTATTACTCCTCAGATTAGATGGCAAACTGCTTTTTATTCTGCTGTACATATTTACTTGACGGAGTGTAGTAATATGCCATGTTGATCCTTAAGGATCAATGTACCTCTTCTCAAGTGAACATGAGAGGAAGAATGATAGATGCTGGCCAATGGTGAATGAATTATTTTGGGGATTAATATTTACTAGAGGGTGATAGTAAGTACACAGTTTGAAGAGTAGCCATCAGAGGAAGACTCTGTGCCTCCTTATTTTGTTTTTGTAGGTAGGATAAGAAGGAAAGATTGACCTCTGAGTGTGCTGCTGGCTGTGAATGTTGCTCAAGATGTGAATAGGAAGCAAGGGAAGTTTAAATCTTTGTGTTGAGGAAACTATTGCCCTTGCCACCAGATTATCTGAGAGCCAGTGTGGTGGTTAGAGTGCTGAACTAGAATGTGGGAGACCCAGGTTTGAACCCCTGTTCTGCTGTGGAAGCTCACTGGGTAATCTTCGGCCAGTCAGACACAAGTCCTGTGCTACCACACAGGCTGGTTGTTAGGGTAAAATGAAAGAATGGGAGAAGGATGTAAGCAGCTTTGGAGGGAAAAGTGGGGTATAAAAATACTGTTTTCTTAAGATTAATTCCCGCTTGTTTGATCTCCAGGTTACCTGTATTCATTGTACTGATACAGGGCACCAAGTGAGCAAAATACTGCTGTTATTTATATAGGGTGGACCAATCTCTGTGCATTAAATTACGCATGTTCTCAGGTGGTGTTAGTAATTAATTGGTTTGTTCAGGCTTGATTTTCTGTATCAGGTAACAATAATTTTAAACAAACTCCATTGTTTACAGTATGGCCTGCCTACCGCTGCACCATGAAAGTTCTAATCTACCTGCTACCTCTATCAGCCAAATTCAAATGTGCTATAATGATTGTAATGGAAAGCATTTTGAGTGCCCCTGGAAAGCTGTGCCACTTATTCACTTGAAACTTGTTACTCAGGATTGTAGGACCCAGTTCCAACAAGCTTCTTTTGGGTTTCCTGAGAACTTGGGAGCATCATGCACAACAACAGTGCTGCAAACAAGTCTGTTGTGGCAGTACTTTTAAAAAGTTAGCGTGTAAATTGTGGGGTATTGTTGAGGCAGGGTAGTGTGAGAATGCCAGCTTGAGAGGTGAAATACTGGCAGGACACAGTTCCTGATTAATCAGGTAGCAAGACTTTATTTTGTCTTGATGGGGAACCATTTTCTTTCAGGCAAATAGTCAATTTTTAACCCTGAGCTTACTGTATTGGTAGTAAAAAGGTAAAGGTTCCCTTGCTCGAAAGCCAGTCGAATCCGACTCTAGGGTTGTGGTGCTCATCTCCGTTTCAAAGCTGAAGAGCCAGCGCTGTCCGAAGACATTTCCGTGGTCATGTGGCCGGCTTGACTAAACACCAAGGTGCACGGATCTTATAAAAAAATAAACTGTTTAAACTTTAAATTTTCATCATTTAAACATAAGAAACAGCCTTAATTAAAAGGGAGGAGAGATTGACCCACATAAGTGTTTGCAGAAATATGTAAACGGACCCTTATCACTTACATCCCTAATTCGTAACTCCCACCAGGGCTGGAGGGAGGAACTGATAAATAAGGTCAGAGAACATGTGTTTTATATTTTCTTGCTCATGTTGTTTCATCCTGGTCCACAGACTTTGCATACAGAATTACGTAGGTTGTGCACATTGGTTCATTTCCACAGTTGCTCATTAAATTTATATATTTGGCTTGGAAATTAGGCTAAATTGTTGCATAAGTTTATAAGGACAAGCTTAAATTCCAAAGTTTGAGGGACACAGGTTTACAGTCTGCTAGGTGCTGCACAAAAAATAAACGAAGGTGGTCAAAATACAGAGGGTTGGATTTTTTGTTAAACCACAACACTCCACTTACTTTTCCGTCTCCTTCTGTCCTGCAGCCCCTGTGTCACCTGAAAAACTGCTCCTTAGTGTTGGGTTCCCTGGAATAGCATTGGATGCAGTGCAGGAGCTGCAGCTTGAGTGGGAAACTTGTGGAAATTGTGGACTTCCCTTGTATGAACAGACATGTCATCCACTGTCAAAAGGGTACCCTTGGATCCTACTCAGGGACCTTATGGTGTACAATAGGTGGGCAAGAAAAGAAGAGAGTTAGACCTGATGAATGAGTAGCAGGGCTGGGAATATGGGAAGGTTAGAACAGGTCCAGAACAACATTTGAAAATATTTAGCATGCCGAGCTGGGATGCCTGGCAATTTCTGTCAATCTTTAATAACCACAAGGTTATATTTGTTCTTAACAGTGTTTGCTAAACTTCTGAGAGTAAAATCTGAAATGTTGACTTGTATTCCAATTACATTTTCTGCTAGTGGAAGGAGATTTTTACTGATTTCCCCAAGGCAGCTTGCAAGTTCTTAGAAACAATAATATAAATTAATTCTCTTTTTCACTGAAGGCCAAGTACTACTGCCAGCTCTCACCTAGTATCTTACTCCACCCCAAGAGCTGTCCCTGGAAATGGCCACCATGAAAATCTGTCAGCAGTTCAATTACAGAGGGGAGGGTTTCTCAATTTTTGGCATGCAGATGTAAGCACAGCTCTGCAGTAGTGGTGTGCACCCCCAAAAAAATAAATCGGCATTTTTCATGTTCTGGTATATTGAACCCCCAAAATATCAGTATTATCTGATATTCCCAAATCCCAGTATTGGTTTGGTATGGTATTGGGATTTGGGAAATAATTGGGATTGCCAAATTTTTCAGCTTCTTGGACACCTCCAGTCTGCAGGTTCACTTGCTGCTTGGAGAAGGTGTTTATCCCTTTGGATGCCTTCTCCCTTTGGACGCCTTCCCCAAGAGACAAGCACCTTTTAGACACCTTCTCCAAGCCGCGTGTGAACAGCTCCTTGGACACCTCACCACTTGGAGAGCGTGTTTGAAGGGACCACAATCCTTTTGGGTGCCTGGAGGAGAAAGCAAGTCCCAGGAGCTGCTGTGCGACATATTGCTCTGTGCAACATAGGAGATCATGGTTGGGCTCACTTTCTCCTGTGCTCTGGTTTAAACCAGGCTGCTGGAGAAGGGAGCCGCAGGAGATGCTGTGCCAATTGGAGTTGATCTGTTCTTCAATACTGGAGATTCCTATACCTGTTGGACTTAAAAGAATGGAGGCGGCTCTTACTTGTGTCTAGTTAAGTGTGTAAATTGGAATTCCTGGGCATTACTTATTTTATATTTACATATGCCACCTTTCTGTGCTTCCACCCATGAGGCATTCAAGGCATAAAACACCAGCATTAATTAGCAGCTTTAAAAAACAGGGTTAGTGAAACAAAACAAAAGAGCATGCACAAAGGTGAGTAGGGAAGACTTCATTGGCCAACCAAAGATTGGGAAGGATTTTTCATAATCGGGGTGCATCCACTAAAAAGCCCCCATTGCTAATATGCATCTGCTTAAGTTCCGAAGATGGAAGCACCCAGAAAAGGGCTTTTAGTGACTATTTCACCTGCTTTTACTTACCTTGATCACAAATAGAGATGTGAAGGCCCGGAAAAAAACCGGGAAAATTCGGGGAAAAACCAGGGTTTTTCCGTTTTTTTCCTGAAGCCTTTTTTGTTTTTTTCCGAAAAATTGGAAAAATTGAAAAAATAAAATAAATTGACTATGGAACGTTTTATTTTAACATGCTGAATAAAATATTTTAAGACAAGGTGTTCAAATATTTTCCAAATCATTTCTAATATATATATATATGGTATCAGATTGATCTAATTTCTGTGCACTGAGGACAAGCAAGTCCTAGGTTACAAACTGAACTCTCCAATGCAAGATTACGATGCATTTCTTCCTTTAGGAGGAGCTATTGTCAGAAGAAAATAAAAAGGTTTCAGTTTTGTTTTTGCATGTGGGTGGGTATTCTGTTTGTAATAATTGCTTGGATACACTATATTTTTAATATGCTAGTTGTGATAATTTCATGCCAAGTAAAAATGTCCATAGTCATATTTTATGTTCCTAAAGTAACAGAATGACTTTCAATTTAGAAAAGACAAAAGAAATGCTAATGTAGCATTTTTTTCAATTTTTCCAAAAATTTCCGTTTCCCCCCGAAAAAACCTGGCTTCAAAATTTCTGGAAATTTTACATCTTTAATCACAAATCTTGAATTATACCTGGAAACTACTGGGAGTGAAGATCTTTAAGCACTGAACATTATGTTAATTGCCAGAGGCCCTTGTTAACATCTTGGTTGCTGTGTTCTGGATCAGTTGGACTTTCCAAAAAGCTTTGAAAGGCAGCCAGTTAGTTTCAGAGGGTACTGCATAAGGGCAATTATATTTAAAATATCTAATGAAATGATAGTCTTGGTTATTAAAACTCACCACAGTCATCAAAATTTTATTCTGATTAAACTAGTATGCTTTTTTGCTTTTCCAGGAACAGAAAGGTGGTGGACTACTCACAGTTTCAGGAATCAGATGATGCAGGTAACTAACTATTGATCTTGATGGGAAAATATTGAGACTCTTCTGTAACAGCATGTATTTTCATAGTTCTTTATTGTTCTGTTCCAAGTAAAGCCTTCTGGAACCCTTGCAAGGTTTTTTGTAGTTGGAAAACAGACATGCTGTTGTTACTGTCTAGTAGATGAAGTTGTGATAATTAGTGAAAACAAAGTATGGTGCAATCCTGAGTGCAATTCTAATGCTGGTTTATTAGCCAAGTTCAGTTTGTTTCTAATACATGCAAGACAAATGCCAATTTATTAGAAACAATAAGAACTTAGTAGGACATATAAAGCTAATTAGCTTCAATTAGTAGTTGACATTAATCAGAGGTGGAAAATGGTCAGTAAAATCAGTAAAAGTCAATTTTTTCATCTTGGTCAGTAGTTTGTCCGTTTTTTAAAAAATTGGTCAGTAAAGTCAGTATTTCTTTGATTTTTGTGAATGCAGTTTGTGTTGTTCTGTTTTCATTACTGCATTTTTGGGAAAACATGATGACTTCCCAGTGAGAAGACAGATTGTTTTCAGTTTAGTTATGAAGTACTTTAAGGACTTTGTTCCTAAGAGTAAAAGTGATTTGGTGAAATCTTCCACAAAGTATAGAAACATAATTAACCTCTTAAAACATGAGACAATGAAAGTAGAGGTGATGGATATTGTGGGACTCAACATGGCACAGCTCATGCTAGAAGGAGTTGAGAAAGCAATGGAAGAAGAGGACAAGGGGAAAAATGCTTGTGGATGCAGTGCAGACAACTGTTGAGAAACGAAAGAGTTTGTGAATAACTTCATTCATTCATTATTTATACCCCGCCGGGCTCAGGGCAGCTTACAAAGAGATTAAACATATAGGTAACAAATTATATACAATCTTAAAACAAATAATAAAACTCTACATTATCATAAAGTGCTAGTAAGTGATCAGGTACTTATAAGAAAGATTACAGAAGGCAGAACCAATACTAGTGTTGTAATCAGATGATCTATATTGGCTCGTCTTGGTCTCTATATTTAGGCTGTTGGTGGTAAGCCAAGGACCAGGGCACTGTCACTTCTCAGTTATTTGATGTTATTTGGTGCGGCTCCTTAGTTAAAGGCCTGGTGGAAAAGCTCCATCTTGCAGGCCCTGTGGAAATGTAAAAGTTCCTGGGGGCCCTGATCTCTTCTGGGAGCTCATTTTACCAGTACGGCGCTACCACTGAGAAGGCCCTGGCCTTGGTTGTGGCCAGCCTGGCATTTTTAGGACCTGGGAGGCCAATCGATTTTGTGACCCTGAGCGCAGTGCTCTCTG